GGCCGGGCCAGGCTGGCCCGGATGGACAGGCCTAGTTATATGAAATAAGAACTTTTCCTTTTCTATTTCTCTACTGTCGCTAGACTGAGACATGCACAGAAATGAATATGATAATTGGTGATATAATTTGAATAGGAAAGAACATCTAATTATTTAAATATACTTATACTGAAGTTGTTTTGTCCGATCAGTTGCAGTGATAGTTAAGTCATCTCTCCTTGAGTTTGAAACGTATTGTATTAAATAAATAGGTTACAATTAATTTAAACTAGTTTTGATTTTATAACCCAGTTAGACAAAGTATCTTCCTACGTTTTAAACCCCAAAAAGAAAATGTTTTGGTTGTACACAATCAGATATATTTGACACAGTGTTTGTTGCTTGTCCATTGAATGTTGGGTGCCTAAAATATATTAGACAATGATAAAAGAGTATTAAAAGTGCCCTTTTCTTATAAGTTGGGATCAAGGAGTAAAATCTATGTGACATCATGACTTCACATAGTAGAGTTTGTCATGAAATGATCATCACAACATGATGCCAAGGGCAAGAAAATTGATTGGCAGTCAAGAATGGGAGAAAAGACTCATTATCGTATCTTACTGCTTAAGCAAATACTCGAGCCAGTGAGTGAAACCAAAAGTGATATTGATTTACTTGCTCAAGCCAATTTTTCTTGAGCATGTAAATTTGACCTTTCTTCCTAGCAACCTATTCAACATACAATGTGTTACTATATATGTTGATCAACTTGTTCGAGTGTAATCAAAATTTTGATGTTCTCAGTAAGAAAGAAGGAAAGAAAGATGCAAGAAGTTTTGATTGACACGAATTAAAAATTTTCCAAGATTGGAGGGAGCACACAAGCGTGCTTTAGCAAGTCAAAACTATTATTTGTTTTGTTATTTAATACTTAGTAGTTGGAACTAGAGTTAATTGCTTGTTTATGAATTGAATCAAATCGAGTTATAATTTTAACTTTTCTATTGCTTTATTGGGTTAGACATGAGTTATTGATATGTAATGGTGATGTATTCATCAGTTCATTAGTTGGGGCTTGGGGGATATATGACACAGTCTTTCTTCTGATTTTCTCCATTCTTTCTCTTACTCAGATCTAAATAGCAGCCCGTGTTGCTCATCGAATCCTTTTATTATGACATACTGCATGGAATTCTTAAGTTGGTGATTCACTTGAACCTAGCTAGGATACTGAGTTGTAATATATTATCATGTATGGAAAAAAATAAAGATGAAGTGATGGCTTAATTTGTAAAAAGAGCTATTAAGAGATGTACATGTGGTGAGGCCTACCTTATTTGTCACATCAAATGGTAAGAGCCTCACCACCACTTCATTTGCTCATTTTCTAAATGAGTCGCAACCTCATACCCAAACAAACACATCATGTATTACACTGACATATAAATTGTTTTGATATGCCTTAATCACGAGGACATATATTCCCATATATATTAAGTCATGAGCACATATATAGATATCGGCTAAAATATCATATTAATAAATTTTGTTGACTTTTAAGTACCAACTTGATATTTAGTTTACTCCGGTGACGATAAGATCAATAAAGTGCGACACGATGACAACAAGATTTTTTTGGCCAAAGTAAAATTTCTGACAAGACCACCTCACGTAACTTGTCATATGCGTCTTACGTAGCTTAATTAGGTTTATGTGGCAAGGGTTAAGTAGAATTTTTAAGTAATCGTTATTAAAAGCTCCTCAAACATTCCCCCTTCTCTCATTTCCTTCTATTTCTATTCACATAAGGAAGAGAGCCTCCCTAAATTGCAGAGATTCACTAGCCTAATTCTAATTTTCCCGAACCCAATTTTAACCCTTGGAGGAAGAAGAATACCCAATTTAATCCCCATCCTTTTGAATTCTAATATGAAATAAAAAACTCATTTCAGCTCAAATGAATGAGCCCAACTACTTGTCACATAAGAGGCCACATTAGCATATCACATGATATTTAATCGTTAAAATTTGTGCTCTTGCTAAAAAATAGGTCTCGTCACTGTGGCCCCATTTTATATATCCTATCGTTGTTGGAGGAAAAAAATATACTAAGTTGATACTTAGGGTCAACAAAATATACCAAAGTGGTAATTTAGCCTATAGACGTGTGTAGTACATGATCATATTTGTGTTCTAAATCTCATTTTCTGTACGTGATCTAAACAATTGTGTAGCTTAATACTTGGTTTTCAAGATTATATTACATCTACTATCATGCGCATATCCAATTTTAATTGCACAGTCTAATAATATGAAAATCACTTTAATATCCGCTAGTATAGAAAAATATTTTGCGTGTAAAGATACTCAGAGAACTTCTAACAGTATCTCATTTCCCTCACATCCAATTAGATACATTCTATATTCTTTGTAGATAAGATATTTAGCAAATGGATTAAATGTCAGAGTTTATGTTATCTTTACAAACAATGTCTCTGATTTTAATTGCATAGTCTAATAATGTGAAAATCACTTTAATATCCGCTAATATAGAAAAAAATTTGCGTGTAAAGATACTAAGAGAACTTCTAACAGTCGCTTATTTTTCCTCACATCCAATTAGATACATTCTAGGTTATCTGTAAATAAGATATTTGACAAATGGATTAAATGCCACAGTTTATACAAACAATGTTTGTAAATAAGATATTTAGCAAATGGATTAGTTGTCAGAGTTCATGTTATCTTTACAAACAATGTGATATGTCCTTTCCATCATATTTTCACTTCTTGTAAGATTTATGTTGTTTAAGCCCTTTTCCTGATCTATTCCATTTCCAGCAAGGACACCTGTCAAGCAATATCTATTCTTGTAATGAAGAATGCATATCAACAGATTTACTATCACATTGTAAGCTTGGAATAGGTTATTGTTACTTTAGAGAGAATTTTGTACATTGGCTGAACCATCCGTGGTCATGTGTAGGTGATAAAAATTAAGGTTAGATCATCTCACATAGAAGAATAGATCGGAGGCGTGAGCCTGTTGGTCTGGTGTAAGACCATAGTTTGGCTTGATCCATCACCAAGCATGCTAACATTAATTGTACTTGACTCTCAAGACTCTCGATATAAATTCATACTAACTTTATTATCTCCGTTATATGGGACTAAGTAAGTGAGGGGTATTGCAATCACTTCACTTCAAATATGCTTATATCATCCTAATATCACCATTATGTGATGTGATTCTAGATGCGACTCTCATGAATTCTGGAGGTGGCTCTTGTGTGTGTGTGATTCTAGATATGAATCTTATGGGTTTTAGAAGTGGTTCTCATGTATGTGGAGAGTTGGCTCCTATGGGATCTAGAGGGGGCTTTTCCCTTTCTCATGCACAATAACACTTTTTGCCATATAGTATCCACACTTCCAGCTAGCTAGCTACTTTGATACCATAGGACATATCTCGGAGTTATGAGCCTGTCAATGCAGTGTAAGTCCTAAGACCCACTGAGTGCAACACGTTGTTTGGCTCAATCCTTCACCGAATATGTTAGCACTAGTTGCACTTGATTCCTGAGATTCTCAACACGACCCCATTCAAGCCCTATTATTCCCTCGATGTGGGACTAGGCAATTGAGGGGTGTTAAAATAGTGGTTAAACATATAGACGATCATGAACAAATGGTGATTTATTTCATTATTGGCATTAAGATACCCAAGAGCTACAATGATGTTATAAAGCTGGTATTAGTGATGTAGCAGAAAATTAATGGGCATAGCGCCCACTCGATGAGTGAAGATGTGGGCCAGATAAGCATGTAGTGCATAGTTGGTGTAAGAAAATTTTGCATTTTTCTAGCTTAAACACGGTAATTTTGATGTGATTGAAGGCAATTACTCAAATAATAATTTTAAGTTAGGTTTAAGTTAAGAGTACTTGTAGTGATTTTCTATCCTCGTAGTGATTTGACGTGATTGAAGATAATTATTCCAATAATAATTTTTAAGTTAGGTTTAAATTAAGAGTACTTGTAGTGATTTTCTATCATCCCTTCGAGGAATCAGAGTTAAAAATTGAGTACAACGTGTAGGGGTTCTTTACTTGGATTAGGAATTTGGCTTTTAAGGAACTCCGCCTTATCTTTTCCAATGCTTATAAAGACAAGGAAGTCGTCCCTCTTTGGTATGTGGTAATGACGAACCCTATATCCTCTTCAAGGTTTATAATCTTTTTAAGTATCTTATATTTAAAGGGGTGACCATGGCTGTATAGAAGTTTTAGTTGGGGAAAAAACAGAAAGGAAAAAAAATTGTGTTTTTGCATGACGAATCTTTTCTGCAATCGGAGAGGTGATCCCTTCCAAAGGAATTGTCGACAAGGTGCTTGTGCAATAAAAGTTTTGGATCACACATTTACATTTTCTAGAAGAATTGGAATTGCAATTTATTTTTGGGATGAATTTGTTCAACATGCTATTTAATTACTATCTTTTATTTTCTTAAAGCTACCACTTGATCTAAATCTCGAAGTTCTTGTTAGAGGCAAACCTAAAATTTACAATTCTTTTGCACTAAAGTTTGAAGCAGCAGGCTGCTAAATCATGAACTCCTGGTAGGTTTTGTTTAAATGCCTTTTTACTAGATGTGCTCTCAATAAAGTTGAATGAAGTGAGGAATGAGTTTTTTAGTAGTTGACACGCAAAACAAATAACGTAACTCAGCTGAATAATTGGGCTGGGGGATTTATTGTTTCTCCTTCATAACAGGCAGTCAACCAAGTTTTTCTATTTGATGTGAAAGTGAGATTCCATTGACTCAGATTTCTTGAGTTTATTAACATCTTAAATCAGGAAATTGAGAAGAGGTTTACTGGCATTAATTTCTAACGGAAGTATTTTTCTGTTTCTTCGAAATGTAGTCTTCTACTATTGCCTGATTTTACTTTAATATTCAGATTCTGATGTCGTCTTTATCATCTGATATATATTTCTTTTCCTCTGAAATCCTTCAGCATGCAAAAGACAATTGAACGTTACAAGCTGCATGTTGAAGACAATAGCAACAACACCGCAGCCGCAGAACATGACATTCAGGTGGAGTGCTTACAGTTGCTATCTATCCTTGTAGTAGAACTGATACTATATTGTAGTCTTGGTTATTGAGATATGCTGTTTTTGGCTACTTCCGCTTATTTGTGTACTGATACTAACACGAAGCAGAAATACAAAATTCTTGGAAACATACTCAATGGTAGGAAAGATGTAATTACAATCATTTTCGATATACCATTGTTTAAGAAAATTTGACTATATTTTTCTCTAAAATAGGTGCACTTTCATGCCTCTTCCAGGATGTAAACCTTTATAGATCTGCACAGTACCAGCGCTGTAAACCTTTATAGATCTGCACAGTACCAGCGCTGTTCATTTTTCCTGGTTTGGCACTTTGATTATTGAATTCTTTAGACGTTAAAGAGGTTGATAAGAAACAATATTTTGTTTAGTTACCCAAAGCAGTATCTATTGTCTTGGATGCAGGCTATAATTACGACTGTGCTACCCATAGCATCTTCAATAAATCTAGCACGATCAACATGAGTTGATAGCATCATTCTTGTAAAGGATATGTACTGGCTGCTCACATATTAAACTTTTTGAGGAAAACCTATTGATGGCAAGAAATAGTGCTTCAGTGTGGAGCAACACAGACTTCAAACATATATAGACCCAAAATCGCTTGGATAAAACAGATCAAGCTATGAAGTCCTCACCTGACAAATATTTTATCCATTCATTTTGCGTTCCAACATTTGATGCATTCACATACTGATATCATAGCACCTTTAGTAAGTTTAACAGTAGCTACACTATACTTACTTTTATTCATCTTATTCCAGTGAAAAACAATACATTTGCTGGAGTAATAAAATCTAGATATTGTAATACATCTCAATTTCTCTCTAGTGCTTTCTAATGTTGTGAAAACAATTTACAAAGCACAGCAAAGGAAGCAAGAAGCTACTAGCATGGCAAAGAAGATTGAACTTCTTGAGTCTTCAAAAAGGTGGTAACTTTTCTTCTGCTCCTTTTTTTTCCCCATGCAGTACATGCAAAGGTTTCTACTTCAGTTAGCATCAATCTACATGTTTTTGATTACTGCGTTAATGCTACAGGAAGCTCATGGGGGAAAACCTGCCATCATGTTCAATTGAGGAACTACATGAGTTAGAGAATCAGCTAGAGAGAAGTATTAGGAACATCAGAGGAAGGAAGGTACATAAAAGTAGCAAATTGAATCGGAAGCAACGTGATATTAACATCCTGACACTGCTTTCTCATTTATCTTTGTCAAGAATTACCTGCTAGAGGAGCATATTTCGAAACTTAAAGAACAGGTAAGAGACTTAAACAGTTCGGTAGAGATACATAGATTTGCATGTGCTACTAATAATTGTTGTATATTATAATTTGTTAACTCAATCCAGGAAAGAATTTTATTAGAGGAGAACGCTGCATTGCGCCAACAGGTACACTATCATTATTATTATTCAAGGGTAAATTTTCCGTGATTTTTGGGATGTACACTATCATTATTATTCAAGGGTAAATTTTCCATGATTTTTAGGAGTTTTTGTACAAAACTGCCATACATTCTTTTACCATGAATTTTTTCCCCACTAAACTACTTGATCTGTTTGACGACATGGTAGATTGTTATGTGCTTTCCCTCTGAACAGTTTTGTCTTTAGCTGTACTTTGGACTTTTTATTCAAACCATTACTGCTATTAGTCACACTTTTCAACGGCTGGTAATTTCTGTTGTTTTGAGCGTTCATGATAGTTTTCTCTAATAAATAAGTTTATAATGTTAGTTTTTAAAATTAAGCCTTTAACAAAGGGTTGTTTTAGAAAACCCCCCTCAGCTATTTTAACTCTAGAAAACCCCCTTCAATTATGAAGTTGTTGTAGATAATCCCCCTCAATGTTCAAAATATTATTTATTGCCTCTCAACTTTTCTCAATTAACCCCCTAAACTAATATAATTTAAATCTAAATGAGTAAATGATTTAAAATGACCATACTATCCCTAAGACATTAGTTTTTTTGACCATATTGTTCCTTCTTAACTTTTTTTAATTAAAAAAACTTTCATTTTATTTACCCCCTCATCTTATTCCTCCATCTTCATTGCTGAGTTTACGTGCAAATTTAATTTTCTCCTTCTCTTTTAAAACGTTAAATTTTTTAGTTTTCTGCTTATCCATGCTTGTAATGTTTGAAACAATTAAAAATTTTAAATATCTTTTGAAGTTTAGTTTCCTCATCAAAACCCACCAAACCAAAGTCTAATATTTTGATTGGCTTGGATTTTTAAATTCACATGAGTTTTTTTCAACCAAGAGTATTTTAGTCATGCATATTTCAAATTAATAATATTAGGGGGTTTATTTGAAAAAAATTAGAAAGATAAAGGGGGTTTTGTGATACGCCCATATTTAAGGGGGTTTAGTCATATTATGAAAGTTGAGGGTGGTCATCTACAATACCATCAAATTTGAGGGTGTATTTCCGAAGATAAAATAGTTGATGGGGGTTTTCTAAGATAAGCCCCATGATAGAGGGGATTTTCTAAAATCAACCCTTAAACAAACTCTACTGTCATCTGGTAGTGGTAGTGGCAGTGGCTGGGGTTTCATAGTTTGGAGCCCTATCCTTTTTCTCTAAAAAATAATTATTGTCCTCCATTAGCGAAAACAATAAATACTAAATTATGCGACTAATTACATATATTTGTTTGGAATAGCTGGGAGAGCCTCTTTTAAATGCATCTGCTTCGAAGGAAGCAGGTTCTAGTGACGACACTAACGAGCACACGGACGTTGAGACGGATTTGTACATTGGCTGGCCTGATAGAGTAACTTCAAAGTGCATGTTGCAAAGCTGAGCTGCAGCATTCTGATCACAGGAAACTGTGTTTATGTATTCATATAGAACATATATACGCGCTGCTATAGAATAAATAAGTGATGAAATGATTTTTTTTTTAAAATTATTGTCACTGCTTGTTGTAACTTCCCGATTAAAGCGGAGGGGCAAATAATAGATTTAATTAGTGCAAATTGTATATTATGTGACAATTGTCCATGTTCATAATTATCAGAATAAAAATAATTTACAGTTCCCTTCTACCCTCAAATGAAAAAGGGAAAAATGTGTCTAGGCCCCCAAAAAATAAAGGGGATGTGACCCAGCCCCTCAATGTTTTCCCCATGTTCTTTAATCCTAAAAACCCAAAAAAATGTGATCTGACCCTTTTTCACACTCTCCCATAAATCAATCCAAAATTGTTCCGAAAATACCCCTTCCCCTTCTCTTCTTCTTCTTCTTTGTTTTTTTCTCCTCCTCTCCCCTAACTGTTCATTTATCCTGCTCTTCTCTCCTCTTTGCATCGCCGTTGACGGCGGTCTCAAGATCGACGAGTAGAATTGTCTCGATCGCCCATTACCGTCGGCGGTCCGTGACCCTAACCGCCTCGACGCGTTCCAACGCGCGAATCAGAGAGATCGCTAGGGGCACCGTGGCAGCTGCGTCCCCTGCGACATCATCAACCTTGTCATCTACTCGGTGGTGAAGCTGCCGGTGGCGATCTGTCAGCAAGCGCACATGAAGAGGCGGAGGCGGCGGATCATCGCGATGAGGAAGAAGGCGGCGGTAGAGGCGACGCCGATCTGGTCGAGCTTCGATATTGACGACGGAGAGAGCATGAGGATGAGGGAGGAGTGGGGGATTCCTGCGGCGACGGCTCCTTAATACTGGTGTTTTTGTGATTCTTTGTTGAGAAAGAATTTAATTGATACGTAGATCTTTGACAATGTACGTAAATTTTTGAACTAAAATTTGATGTGTTTGAAAGACTGAAAGTCTCTCAATATGATTTATCATTGATATATAAATTTGAGAGACCCGAATCTGAGTATTTCTGTTGATAGTGAAGATGATTTGAAGTGCACAGTAGGGTATAATCGAAATAGTGTTAAGTATCATAGCTATATGTTAACTTTTACGAGAACATGTTAACTATAATAGTTATATGTTGACTTTTAACTGAACGTGTTAACTTTCCTCTTAGTCTGTTAACTTTTCATGCCGAATGTTAACTTTCGCCGCTTCATGTTAACTTTCATCCAAACCTGTTAACTTTCACTGCTTTATTTCGTAGAAGCGTTTTAAAAAAACTATGACCAATTCTTTTATCTTATCCTAGATTATAAGTCTAATCATATCGTATATTCAAACAATATTAGTTGTAAGAATGTAAGAATTTTATTATGGTGAACGTTAACATATTCAGTTGAAAGTTAACATGTTATTATGAAAGTTAACATGTAACAATGAAAGTTAACATATTATGATGAATGTTAACATATTTAGCTAAAAAGTTAACATGTTATGAGGAGAGTTAAACATATAATGATGAAAGTTAACATGTAATAGTTAAAGTTAACATATGAAACATGTCATGTTCTTACTGATCATGGGATTTGACAGTTGATATTGCTTGAAGGATATGTACAGATTATGTATAAGTGTATGAGATTTAATAGGGTAGCGTAACTTGAAGATTATATACATAATCTGTATATATTATGTACACAATAACCTCAAGATTATGTACATATTATGTATCATAATATTCAGGTTTTGATACACATAATTTATATATAATTTTCAGTTTCATATGCACATCAAGTTTTATTTGAATGAACTTGTACATATTCACATGACAGTCACAATATATTTTATTAAATTTTGATCCAAGCAATAACAAGCTTCATGTTCTTGTTTATTCAACTTAAACTCTTGTTTGAGTTTGGAAATTACCAAGCTTCATGTTCTTGTTTATTCAACTTAAACTCTTGTTTGAGTTTGGAAATTACCTCATGACATCTCAGTCTCATAGTACAACTTAAACTCTTGTTTGAGTTTGGAAATTACCTCATGACATCTCAGTCTCATAGTACTTTTCAATCAATTTATCCTTCAAATTCAAGCTTCTCCTAAAGTTAGTGAGTTCTTCTCTCATAAGTGGAAATAACTGAGTTCCCACACTATATACGGGGTTGTCAAACCACTCCTGAAATCTACAACCATCATTCTGAAATTATGCACAAAAACAAAAACAAAAACAAGTTAAATCATGAACCATAAATCACAGCCACTTGAGCAAATAATAATAATAAATCCAAGATTGCTTACATGAGGATTTTCATTAGTTATAAAAGTGTAATACTCACACTCTAAACCTCATGAACAAAACTCGACTCGAAGCCCCCATCCCCCTCCTCCTCCTCCTTCTCCTCCTCCCCCCAGCTGCAGCACGCCAAGAGCTTCGCCACGGCTCCCGCATCTGTTTTTTCCTCTACGGCCGCACCGACGGGGAGGACTCCCTCCACCCTAGCTCCGTCGCCCTCGTCCACCCCAGCTGCAACGTCCTCCTCCTCGAGGTTGACTCGAAGCCCCCCTCCTTCCCCCAGTTGCAGCATGCCAAGAGCTTCGCCGCCGCTCTCGTCTATGAGGGTAGGAACGCGTCTCTATGGCGATCTGCTTTGAGCGTGAGAAGAGAGAAGAGAGAGAGAGAGAGAGGGCAGATAAGTTTTGGGGGGAAAATGGTTAAGGGCATTTTAGGGATTTGGCATATACTTTCTCCATGTGCTGTCTTGAAAATGTAAAAAGGAGCTGAAACATAACTACTTCTTGGGTTGGGGATTTGGCTCACAAAAAAAAAAGAGGGCCCTGATCACATCCCCTTTATTTTTTTGGGGCATTGACACATTTTTCCTAATAAAAAAGGATAAATGGCACTTAAATATCATAACGTTTGCCTGACCTAGCACTTAAATACCATAATTTTTTATTTTGTGGCAAAAAAGTACCACAAGATATCCACTATTAGAATCCTTGTAACGATGTTAATTTTTTATCATTTGGACAAAAATCCAGTTGTTTAATACCCCCTAACTGTTAAAAAAAATCTTCAAATTGCTCATATATTTACATCCGTAGAAGCCACACAAAAAAATTACTGCTCAAATTCGCTACAGGAACGAGCTCTCAAAAACGCGTTCTGAAAATGCTTTAAAAACACTCGGGAGAATTCTCTTTGGAAAAAACTCACTACAGGAGTCGGCGGAAAAAATTCTCTACTGAAGATCGCGACCAGGGTTCCCTATTTATAGGGAAACCCTAGGTCAAAAAAGGCAGATTCCAATCTATCTTTTTCTGCGAGTTCGTCTGACTATGAATGTCGCCTCACTACGAAGGCTTGCCTGACTGCGAAGCTCGCCAGTATGACTTATGTTCGCCTGAACATAGTCAAGCTCGCTTGAACTGCTTCGCTTGCACTTGGAGCTTGCCTGAACTGCTTTGCTTGCACTTGGAGCTCACCTGCACTTGGAGCTCGGTTGAACCTCCAAAGCTCGCTTGATCTTCCAAGTTTGCTTGAACTTCCAAAGCTCGCCTGAACTGCAGGTTTGGTTGAACTCAGCTTCGAGCTTTGCCTGAACTTCCAAGTTCGCCTGAACTATCAAGTTCGCCTGATTTCTTAACTTAGAGAAATCTTTGCTTTGCATGCTTGTTTTAAGGTTTGGGTCTACACCCGAAACTAACAATCTCCCACTTGGAGACCAAACCTCCGTCAACAAGCTCTCTTCAACTTGGCAAGCACCTTCTCCTACCCGGAGAATCTCTTTCTTCAATTTAATATCTTTATCATAGTTTGGCTCCGCCCTCATCTTCTGTGCATGAAGGCCAACTGAAGTTATACACAACTCTAGTTTCTCAATGGTCACTGCCTTAGTCAACATATCTGTAGGATTTTGGCTCATCAAAATCTTCTCTAATAGTAACTTCCCATCCTCTATCAGCGAGCATATGAAATGGTAATGTACGTCGATGTGCTTCGTTCTGGCATGATATACTAGGTTCTTGGTAAGGTATATAGCCCTCTTGCTATCACAATAAAGAACTATGTTCCCCCGCTTCAAACCCAACTCTTCTAGACACCCCGGTTAACCAAATCATCTCTTTACTAGCTTCAGTCATTGCGACATACTCTACCTCAGTCGTGGACAAAGTCACTATCTTCTGCAAACGTAAGACCCAGCTCACTGCTGTCGACCCTAAGTTATAAACATATCCCGTGGTGCTTCGCTCGTATCATGATCACTGACGAAATTTTCATCCACGTATCCCTGCAGTACCAACTACTTTCTCTCAAAACACAATGGTATATCCATAGTCTCTCTCAAATAGTGCAATATCCACTTCACGACCTCCTAATACTGCTTCCCTGGATTGCTTGTAAACCTGCTCACAACTTTTACTGCATAGGCGATATGCGGCATCGTGCAAACCATCACGTACATTAGACTACCAATGGCTAATGAATATAACACTCTTCACATGTGCTCCTTTTCTACATCTGTCTTGGGTGATTGCTTCTCAGATAACCTGAACTGACTTCCAAGGGGCGTGTCAACGGGCTTAGCATTCTCCATGTTGAATCTCTGAAGTGCATTCTCGATGTATTCAGCCTGACTCAACCACAACGTCCCTTCAGTCACATCCCGACTGATTCGCATCCCAAGAATTTACTTCATTGCACACATATCCTTCATAGCAAACTCCTTTGCCAATTGCTTCTTCAATTTGTTCATCTCCTCTAAACACGGTCCTGTAACTAACATGTCATCAACATATAATAGTAACACGATATAGCTGGACTAGAATCTCTTGAAGTAGCAGCAATGATCTGAATTGCATCTCCCATAACCATTGTTTTGCTGAAGTTATCGAACTTCTTGTACCATTGTCTTGGAGCCTGTTTCAAACCGTATAAGCTTTTCTTAAGCATACACACCATTTCTTCCTTTCTATCCTCAATGAAGCTAAGATGTTGCTTCATGTAGATTTTTTCATCCAAGTCACTATGAAGAAAGACAGTCTTCATATCCAACTGCTCAAGGTAGAGATTTTTAGTAGCTACTAAGCTTAACACCACCCTAATACTTGCGAGCTTCACTACAGGGGAAAATATATCTATATAATCCACTCATTCTCTCTGTTGGAACTCTTTTAAAACTAATCTAACCTTGTATCTCTTGTTTCCATCACTCT